TTTCTCCATGCTTTCTTAGTATTTCAATCTTGGATTGTTTTGATGTTTTTGGATTGTTTGTTTTGGATTGTTTTTGTTATATCAAAAAGGGGGAGATTGTTGAAAACATTTTGATATTTCGATATAACAAATTAAGTTTAAATAAATTTTAAGATTTTACAAAAGATTTTCTAAGTATATTCGATTTAATTAATTGAATATCAAAATTATTACTCCAAGACTTTCAAGTTCAAATTCAAACCTTACTAAATGTGTAAAATTGTGTTTTATACTTAATATATTTTTGAAACAATTTTCACAAAGTATTTTGAACCAAAATCAAGCCTAAAATCATTTTTTCAAAGTGATGCACCGATGCACCAATCCATGCATCGATGCACCATGAATTAAATTGAACATCGAATGCATTTCATGCATCGATGCACATACCATGCATCGATGCACTGAGGATTTTATGAAAACATCGAATGCATTTGATGCATCGATGCACAAGACCATGCATCGATGCACTCAGGCTTTTTCAAAACATCGAATGCATTTTATGCATCGATGCACTCTTAGTGCACCGATGCACTGAGAGTCCAACGGTCAAAATATTTGAATTTTACACTGATGCACCTAGGGTATGCATCGATGCACTGACGCTCCCAACTGCTTTAATTAATTGTTTTCACACTTAAACGACTCTATTGACTCCACTAATCATCCCCAACGTTTATAATCATTTGAAGGTGTATTTAAACAAGCTTAGAAGCCATTGATCAACAACAAGAAACAACAAGCAACTAGAATCAAGAGAGAATCAAAGAGAAAGCATCAAACCTCAAGTTTGAGCAATTCAAGCCAAATTTCCTTTCAATATTCATTTTGCTTTCAAGAACACAATTTGTGCTCAAATGTAATTATCTTTGACTGTTCTTATCTTGTTCTAGAATTGTGCAAACAATCTACCTTGTGAGGATTTCCTTGTAAGTTTGCAAATTTGTATTTCTCTTTGAAAAAGAGTGTGCTCAAGAATTGGGGTATAATTCTTGAGGGAATTGTAAGGTTACTCTTTGTCCTCAAAAGAAAGAACAAATTAGTGAATTTGTTGGAAAATCCTTAGTGTGGATAGCTAAGGTAGTGGACGTAGACTTTGGTTGAGAAATTCGAACCACTCTAAATCGCTGCGCAATTACTTTCAATTTTCTACATAGCTTCCACCGAAATTTTTAATTGTCAATTCAACCCCGTTTTGGCTAATTTCATCGATCAATTAACTCAACAAATACCATCAGGCCCCAACGGCTAGTAACAACTAGTTGATTTAAATATAACAAAGGTAGTATTGATACTTCCTTTAGGAGTATCGACACCCTCTGTTATAGGCAGCTTTATTTTGCACGAAATTTGATCCCCAACGGCTCTAAAACACTCCCAACGGCTAGAAATAGCCACAACAACATTCCAACATATAAATACAAGTTGAGGACACTTGAACAAGGGTTAGAAACACCTATCCAAGCAATCAAACACAAGAGAAGTTTTTCATTCTTATTTTCATTTCTCTTGTAAATATTGTGTTTGTGTGAGCTAAATTCTTGTAAACACCCTACCTTTGAGAGATTTATTTGTTTACTTCTTTTTACCTTTTATAAAGGGGTTTTGGTTCTATCTTAACCAATTCAAAAGATAGGGAGTTGTAAAGGTTATCTCTTTATCCTTGAAAAAGAAAGAACAAATTAGTAAATTTGTTAGAAAATCCTTAGTAAGCAGCTAAGGTAGACTTGGTTGATAAGTCGAACCACTATAAATTCTTGTGTCAAATTTTTCTATCTTTTGCTCTCCTTACTCCCTAATTAAAGTATTGCCAATTAACCCCCTTTGCACATTTTCGACTGTTCAATTAAGCCTCTTCAAATCTTAATAGAATTCAGGTTATACAATTAGAGGAATTTTAGAATTAAGGTTAGGGTTTAGGAAATTTAGGATTGGGAAAAACAATGAGAGGGGGAACTCTCACACCGACAACCACGGCCATTGTCGGTAAAGGCACCGACAGCCAGTCAGACACCACCCTCCAGTGACGGCTTGGATGAAACACCAAGTTTGAATCAAAATAAAATTATTCTAGCTTACCTCAATGGGTTGGTTGCACAAATAACGGTGAATGATGACCACGTCGGGAGGGATGAACGACAACGATTCAATCGAAGGAGGAAGACGAAACCGTAGCGGTGGCGGTAGTGATGAGAAAATCACAACTTTTTTTTAAAAAAAAAAGTTGTGATGTAATTAGGGATTACTATTTGAACTAATTATACAAAAAATATTTTAAAACAATTTAATTAAAATTTATGATTTATTTAAAATTACAATTACATTTTTAACTAAAATATAATTATATGTTAAGTACCTTATAATATTATCGTTTTATAATTTAATTTATCGGTGCTCATTGCCGCTCGCTGAACGCACAAGAATTATTCTTGCACTTATATATGAATCATATCAATTTAAACTATAATAAATTAAAAAATTATTACACATGAATTATATCAATTTAAACTAAAATAAATATATAAAAATACAAATAAAAAAATATTTTATAATAACTCACTATTAATATTTTAATATATAAACTTTAAATTTTATTTACTTTTAAGTAAATAAATTATTAAGTAATAAATTATTTTTTAAGGATATTAGTATTAAATTATTAAAATAAAATGTAAATACATAATTGAGTGGAACCCACGAATTAGTAAGTATAAAATTATAATTTGCTTCCAAATGTTAAGTTGAAAATGAAAAAGCTAAGATTTGAAACCACAATTTGTTTTATTTTTACATATTTGACATTGATTTTACGATTAAAACAGTTTTTTTAGCTAAATGTGTTTTTTAAAAGCCACATCAAACGAGACTTAAGTATATATTTATAGTTGTCGGGACATTAAAACCTTAAAAAATAATATGAATTGTAAAAATAAGAGTCCGAGAGTTTTTATATCCACCATATATCTTTATTTTTCTTTTAATTTATTTTCGCAGAACATGACACATTATGAACTTTTAAGATCCTACTAAATAAATTTTGGGTCACAATTTCAAACAAATCTAATGGTAGAATGCAATTTAAAGCAAATCTCCTTTCTCGAATTGATGTTGGTGGTTAAGCCTAGGAAATTTTTATATGTTCAGATTGATGGGCATGGTCCTTTATTCCAGTCTGATCCAAGTTAAGCTAAGGTTTACTGGATATGGCCTGGGATTGCGTTATGATATAACAGGGGTGAGTGTGTGTGTCGTTGGGTCAATTCAAGAACGAGGATATGAGCTCATCTGGTTTAGGATGCTCCATGTGATCGTGCAGGTGCTGAAACTTGGATGACTTGGGGTGTAAAAACTGTGTAGCTAGGTGGTGTCATGAAAATTGTTTCAGGCTATCGTATTCAGTGTCACAGATCTGCAGAAGGAGGAGGTAAATCGTGAAGGTGGGGTGTCAAGCTGGGCGCCCTAATTGTCGTTTTTATTCTGCAGCTAAAGGATGGTCCTGGATGTGTTTATGATGCTGTCAAGTGGATTATATCTTGTATTATGATTCTGTTACATAGATGCTGCCAGAATTAGTGCTTTCCTCTGTCTGGATCATTCTCTTTCTGCAGCTGATTGCTTTCGTCAGTTTCAATTGGTCTCGAGACGAGTTGCGGAGTTTCTGGTCAGTAGCGGTCATGTTTATACCCTTTCAGCTTAAGCATGACCCATGGGAGCGTCCTCATTATCTCTGGACACCTGGTTGTCGTTGCTCAGTTCTAGTAAGAACTTTTTAAGCGAAGCTGGGGTCGAGACGGTCTGCATTTAGTGGAAGTTAAATTTTGCACGGTAGCGTTGATAATATGTAAGCAAGCAAGTACGGGTATAAATGCTTGTTCCGATTGGTACGAGTGGCTTTGATAGTGTTTGCGGCGCTTTTTCTGCTAGTGAACTAAGATTACTGGTATTGGTTACTTTAAGTGTAGCATGCAGTGTGTGTAAATGTGTTTTGTTATCCTTGTTTGGTTTATGGTTGCACTGAGGATAGATGTGGGCAGTTCTCAATTGGAATTTATGGCCACTTATAGTATACTTATATATTTGGTCTAATTTAATTTTAAAAATAAATCATCCAATCAAGAGGTGCCACTTGGTCCGTGGTTCGAATCCCCAACTAACACTTCTATTCTAATTTGTTTTCTTTTATAAATGTGGGGACATGTGTCACCGCCTAATTGGTGAAAAAATTTATTTAATGAAAATTAATTAAATTAACCCTCCAATCATATAGTGACACCTGTCACTTGAAAACATGTCATAATAATCTGGTGACTCGTAGCACCTCTGGATTGAATGATTGAATTTACTTAATTGAATTAAAATAGTGACTAAATTGATAGAATATGTAAATATTAAAGATCAAATATATAATTATAAGAATCTTGTTAACTGTCACGTTACTATCTACGTTAAAAATTAACGACGGGTGGCTTGACTAAAACATTCAAATAGCTAGGTAGTATGATAGATCAAATCGAAATATTTGTGATCAAAATAAAAATGGACAATAGTTTAATGGTCACCCGTGTATTCACCCTAGAAATTATAACCTAATCTTCAAAACAATATCATAAAAAACCGATCAGTTTATTTAATTATCAGAAACGGTATATTATAAGTTGACATTTTATTTAATTTTTTAAAATTTAAATTATATTTTTTAATATAAAAATCTTAACCCAAAAATGTCGCCATCGTGAGTAAACTAATCTATGCAAATTGTTGATTTCGTTTTTCTACTTAATTATAGAATCTAAAACCACGAAATTCACATTACTAATCATGAATTCGTTAATGCAGCTTTTTTTAACATATATAAATTAAGTAAAATATTATTGCAAAAAAGAAACGACAAAAGGGTATTAAATTCTGTTGTGAACTGTGGTGGTGTTACGTTTTTTCAGACAGAACGTAGGGGAAACGGAGTTGCTGACATACGGAATTAAAAACCAGAATCTTTGTTCTTTCTCAAACCTAGGGATTTTCTGTCCTTTAGTTTTTTTTTATCGAAACTCCCATTTCGAATCCTTTATCATTGGAATTGAGAATCTGATTTTTCTTGTGTTTAGAATGATCTTTTAGCCATGCGTTGGCTTCGGAGTATTTCTTCTTCTTCCTCGTCTTCTTCTTCGGCCACCTCTCCCAAGAAACCTTGTAAAGATAATGATAGTAATTCTAACAAGCATCGTTTCAGTTTTGGGTTTCGCTTATCTAGGCTGACGAGGGCGAAGGAGCTGCGGCGTGTCAGGGATCAGGGCGTTGCTCCGACGAAGGAAGTGCAGGTGTCGGTGCAGCCCAGCTGTTACCATACTCCATCTTTGTCGCCGAGTTCGTCTGCGAGGATACCAACGCCTGCAGTGGCAGTGGCGGTGCCGTTGCCGCTCCCGCTTCCGGTTCCGGTTCCCGAAGGAGATTGGGAGCAAAGGTTGTCGCCGAAAGATGTTGGGTCTGGCAAGGGATTAGAGGGTAGAGATAAAGAAAAGGAAGCTGAGCCACGGTTGTCGGCCAATTCAAGGTGAATTTGCTTACTTTCTTCTTCTCACATATTAGTTTTGATTAAAATTTTGTTGCGGTTTTAGGAATTTATATAAGATTCTGCAAATATTCGTTAATTTTATGTTAAAATGAAGAAAAATTGATTATTATATGTTTAAGGGGATTGAAATTCCAACTTTTTGCTGATAATAGGATGTTCAACAAGCAAATTATGAGTTTGAGGAGAATTTATTCGTGAAATGCAGTCGTTTTGTATTGACGGTCTGAAAATCTAAACTTAAAGCTTATTTCTGATAGTCATTGCAGACATTCTGATAAGCATTTTGCTGGTTTTTGTTATAATTGAGATTTGAGAGTTCCTTGATTTCTCTGATTGCAGCAGGTTTGCTACTCGTGGCTCATCGAAGAGGGCGGATTGTGCCAGAAGAAGATCATCTGAGAAAATACTATACCAAGAACTGATTAGAGGGGACAGCTTCGAGCATGACTTTCGTGCTAATGTCTCGATTAGTAGTGCCCCTGGGAGCCCGTTAAGCGGTGCCGTTATTAGCCCAACTGGAAAGAATCCAAGTAACAGGTTTCTACACTTCATGACTCCTGCAGGTGGTAACCATGCTTGGTCTGCTCCGGAGATGCCAACTTTAGACGTTCCAGGGCATTTTCCCCTGGGATATTATGATTTGGGTGCATATAGCATTGATAATACTCCATTTCATACTCCACCAAATAGAAGTCCTCATCAAAGGCATAGTGGACCTCCTTCACCGATAAAACAAAGGATTTCACTCGACAGCTCACCATCTCAGAGCAGCAATGTCCATCCATTACCTCGTCCTCCAGGAGCAGTAATGACTTCAACATCAGCTTCCATTCCCCCCCAAGTTACATCTAATCCAGACCCGCTGCGGATTAATTGTCAATGGAAAAAAGGCAAGCTTATTGGGCGTGGTACATTCGGAAGTGTTTATGTTGCCAGTAACAGGTATTCAAGTTCTCTGTATCTTTGTTTCCTTTGCTCTTGCTATCTAAACACTAAAGGGGCTTCTTGTCTTGGACAGACAAACTGGAGCTTTATGTGCAATGAAGGAAGTTGAGATATTTCCCGATGACCCGAAATCTGCAGAGTGTATAAAACAACTAGAGCAGGTTTTTCTGTCTGCAGCAAATATAACATTTCTTGTTTATTTCTTCCACGGTCATCGTAACTACTTTCTTTCATTGCAGGAGATTAAGGTTCTTAGCCAGCTCAGGCATCCGAATATAGTTCAGTACTATGGTAGTAAAATAGTAAGCAACATGCCAATTGAATTTTTACGGTTTTACTCTTTCTTCTTGCCTGACTTATTATCTCAGTAACTTCTATTAAGAATTCAGATTGTTCATACACAGGTTGAAGATAAGTTCTATATATATTTGGAGTATGTTCATCCTGGTTCAATTAATAAATACGTTCGTGATCACTACGGTGCCATAACCGAATCTGTTGTTCGCAATTTTACCCGCCATATTCTTTCAGGGTTGGCTTACCTGCACAGCACAAAGACGATTCACAGGTATATAGTGATTTCTGGGTTAAAATAAGGCTTGACATGCACACTAAAATAGTCAGTTACAGAATAGAATCGAGTGCATCTTATTATTCTTGCATGAGTTATCGGTGGCTTAATATGATGTTTATATGTTGTTTAGAGATATTAAAGGAGCTAATTTGCTTGTTGATGCATCTGGAGTTGTGAAGCTTGCTGACTTTGGGATGTCCAAACATGTAAGTTCCGTAAAGTTTTCATTATCTTTGGATATGTACTAGTCACAAGTAAGGCTTGTAAAGTCGTATCCGAGTAGATTAGATTGGTGTAACTTTTGTTAGTTGTTTTTATGAATAGTGATGGATTATGATAAATTGGAGTAGATTAGCTTGGTGTAACTTCTGTTAGTTGTTTTTATTCTGATTCCGATCAAATAACTTTGGATACGTTTGATGCACAGCTTAGTGGACAAAGAGCTAATCTATCTTTGAAGGGAAGCCCATATTGGATGGCTCCGGAGGTACCATCTCGAATCTATTTCGATACAGTGGTCTGTAATTTAAACATGCTGACATTGTTCATTTAACTGCAGCTCTTGCAAGCCGTTATGCAGAACAATAATCGTTCTTCTGAACTTGCTCTAGCAGTTGATATTTGGAGCTTGGGTTGCACGATTATCGAAATGTACACTGGTAAAGCACCGTGGAGTGAATATGAAGGGGTAAGCTGCTAATGTAAAGTTTGTACTAATTGTCTCAGCGGCACCAACACGGTTCAATTGCTCGGTATAGTTTGTTTTCAAGTAAAAGACATTGCCAATTTCTCAAAATTGTCACTGTTAACGCAGGCTGCAGCTATGTTTAAAGTGATGAGGGATACTCCTCCGACACCTGAAACATTATCACCCGAGGGGAAGGATTTCCTACATTGCTGCTTCCAAAGAAATCCGGCAGAGAGACCCTCTGCGAGCATGTTATTAGAGCACCGATTTATAAAAGGCTCAAATGGTCGGTTGTTTAAGCATCTAATAGATAATGTCCATGATAGATAAGAATACTTCCCCCTTCTGTTGCTGCTGACTTCTAATTGTTTGATTACTAATCGGTTTAACAAGACACCATTCTGAACTTAACCCGAATCCATTTCCAGTTCAGCAGAGTCCGTAAAGGAATAAAACTGACTTCTAACAGGTAAGAATTTCATGTTGCATTGCAATTTGCGTATCGTTATCAATCCATCCATTCGATCAAGTTGGGAAACTTGTGCTATATTCTTGACCTTTCAGTGCAGCTTCATGCGTTAATATTTTTCTCCGGAGAAACTGCTTGATGAGAACCATCACCATTTTACTCTCCTTGTTCTACCTTTGAGGCTCTTCCTAGTTCGTCGTTTCTTCTTCATCCCAGTCCTACTGTTATCCGTGACATAACGATGAACCTGGATTCTAAAAAGAACCGTATTCTCGGATCACGTCAAAGAGAGGAAGAAGCAGTGGTTTATGCTGGTAAGACAGCTTCAAGCCTTGCCGTGGAGAGCTAAAGCACCCCCCGCCTGTTCTCTGTCTTGCTGATCCGGAGGCAAAGGTAGAACATTATATATGTTATGCACAGAAGCAGAAAAAGCAGGGTTTAGTATTCATATATTTTTGTTCAAAGGGTTTTGTATGTTAATGGACTATTTGTTAAAGATTATGAATGGTGGGATATGAACTATTATAAGTGTTTGTCATGTAAATATAATTGGATTCTTGACTGAGTTTAATGTCATCGACTCCAATTATATCATTCTTTTCTTCAAGAAATTACACTAGTTTAATGAATAGAAAACTATTTTCTGTAATATATTTTAATAAAATTATTTTATCCATTCTTTTAAAAATTCACCTCTTAAAAAGCTTAGTAGTTCTGTTGTAATGTAAATAGATAAAATTTATATTGATTTGATATTAAATTTTATGTTTATATTTTCTTTCTCGTTCAGTTCAATGATTGATATAACACTCAAATCTAATAGATTCAAGTACCACACGGAATTATCGAATCGATTAATTTTTTTTATAATAACATCATACACACTTTTAAAATATTAACACAAGATGTAAAACATAACAATTTACAAAAGTGGACACAAATTTAAAAACTTGATAAATAAAATAAATAATTAAAACATTACAAGTCGACTCGTTTCAAATCATTACCTCTAGAGGTTAACTAAGTCATCATCATTGTACTCTGGTACTCCGCTGAGACTCCTCCGATGATATTGTTATTCCATCGCACTTAACGTGACCTATAATCTGTGAACGGAAACACATTCCGAACGCTGAGCTCACAAGCCCCGCACCATACGATACCTTTACTATACGACATGTACTCATAACATAAGCATACTAACTAGTATAGTCAAGGAAGCAATACTAACAATGTCATAGATGGTACCTAGTCATCTATCTAAAACTATCAAAATGGTACTCCGCTAGGACTCCTCCAATGATATCGTTATTCCATCGCACTTCATGTGACCTATAATCTGTGAACTGAAACACATTCCGAACGTTGAACTCACAAGCCCCTCACTACACAATACCTTTACTATACAACATGTACTCATAACATAAGCATACTAACTAGTATAATCAAGGAAGAAATACTAACAATGTCATCGATGGTACCTAGTCATCTATCTAAAAGTATATCCACTATCAAAATGGTATAAGTCTTATACTTCCCTTAGTCTACCGCTAAGGGCCTCGCCATGGGTATATGTATATTGGGTCTCTAACCATAATATTGTGCAATTTTGCATCATCATATACAACACACATTCATCACACACACAAACAAGGGTAGATATAATGGTGTAGTCGGAGGGTCATATAGCATCTCAGGACTCACACCCCTCTATCCTACCCAAGGTACCATAGATAAGATTCAGGTCACATCATTAGAATCTTCATATATAAAGGCCTTTATTTCCCAATACCTAGGATAACTATGGAGTCACATAGCATCGAAGCCTACGTCATGGTAGTCTACTTCTCAAAGTACTTGGGACACCTTCGAGGTCACATGACATCGAAGCCTGCGTCCAACTAGTGCTTTTAAGTGCATAAGAATTAACTTGGATATATCAAAATAAGACGATCATCGTATAGACGCAAACATATAAGGGTTCCCATAGGCCAATCACCCCATTCAATATCACACAAGGGTAGTCAAGGTAGCTCGACTACTCACTTAGTTCATCACAATGGATGAGGTCATCCTCTTACCCATTACCATCTCACTCGATCTCTCATCTAGAACGTTATGTAAGGGATAATAAATATTTTAGTTTTTATGCCCTTAAGGTAATTAATATTCATCTATACACATTTGTATATTATTATTACTAGCCCAACACTTTACTCGGGGGTTGGTTAATCGATAACGACTCTCTAATCGCTCTTATCATATCTTCCCTCGATTCACCCTTGAATCAAAGGGCGACTTGCATGTTATCATAATATACAAGTAATTTGAGTGATCTTGTTGTTTCTTAAGTATCAAACAAAGGTATAAGTCTAAAAGAATCTTACTTCATAAGGCTATTATTATTATCACATGATTTATTCAATGTTTTCACTTCTAAGATTAATTTAGAGGTTTTGGTTATCTTAGACCCTTTCCCGAATCCTTAACTCAAGATTAGGTTTCTATCCAAATTAGTACGATGGTACTAATACTAAATGTAACATCCTAAATCAGGGCTTATGACTAAATTATAAATTTGGAAAACTATGTGCTTGATTTTGAAACAAGTTAAAAGTTTAAGGACTTAATTGAGAATTTTATTCAAGAGGATTGATTGGTAAATATGAAAATATTAAAGGGAAAAATGGTCATTTGACCACCAAGATAATTTTTTATGGGATATATATGTTACACGTGAGGTGGGTATAAGGGAAAAAGAGGAGTTCCATAATTCTCTTCATCTTCTTCTTTCTTCCAAACGTGGAACCAAGCTTGATAATGTGAGTTCTTTGGTTAGTTAATTATTCCTTGAATTCAAGTTGGGTTTATGATTATTGAGTGCTAATTAAGCCCAAGGAACGCTTAAGTTAGCTTTAAAACAAAGAATGAAAGAGTTATGAGATTAAAATTTAAATGAAATTTTGAAGAAGAGTTTATAAGTTAAATTGGAGGATAAATTTGACTTGTCAATGGTTAAATTAAGAGATTTGAAGTGATAGAAGTAAATTTAGAACAAGTGGGAAAATTTGTATGATTCTTGAAATCCATGTAGATGATAGGATTTTGAGATTAGAGATGTGAGAAATGGGTATTAATGAGTTTGGGCATGTGTACGTGAATTAGGAATATGAAATGAAATATAAAGTATTTGAGTGGAAATGAAGTGATTTTCGGGCTTAAAATTGATTTATGCACATGGGTGTATCGGTACCCATTCAACAAGTACTGATACATCAAGAGTAAAATCTGGAAAGACGTTTAAAGGGTATCGATACCTTAAGGAGTTACCCCCTTGAAACGGAAATTATCGAATGTAATTTGGGTATCGATACCTAGGGTGTGTATTGATACACTAGTTGAGGGATGTATCGATACCTATAGAGTGTACTGATACCTACTTTAGATAGAAAATGAATTTCGCCTTTTCTTTAGTTTAAGAAATGAAAAATTTGAGTATGCCAAGCGGAATACTGATATGTATAATGTATGATTATGTAGATATCAATCGAAAGCAAGTCCAGATCAGTCGACAAGTTTTGGGCATCGAAGAAAAGATAAGAGAATGATATTGACTAGTGAGGACAGTTGAGTGCACATTATTTAGTATATGATGTTTAATGGGAAATAAGACTTGCGACAAGACTATTTCCAATAGTAAAATGCATGAATTCATAGATAAAAGTATTGTTGTTATGATTTATATGTGTGCATAAGTATATGTGATGACATGTTATTATGTAAGTTACATTATTTGTATAAATACATGTTGGTGTGATAAATCATGTAAACAGTACAAATGATCTATATGATCATATAAGAATATGAAATAAGTTATATGATAGGGACATAAGGAGTTGTATGAACATATGATAGGTGACCATACATGTTACACAATATATGTGATCAATTACAGGAATCAATATAAGAGAATTATATGACTAAATGAGAAGTGAGATGAGTTAAATAAGATTAGACTATAGAGTAATATGAGAACAGTATATTAGTGAGGAGACTTGAGTATAAATGATGATATCAAACTATAAGATAAGAGATATAAGGAAGATTTATATGCATGTGTGATAATATGGAAAAGTGAATTAAATACAATGATATTGAACCCTATGAGTATAAATATATATTATATATGACATATGAATGTGAAATCATATGAAAATAAGTAATGAGCTTACATGATAACAAGACATGAGATATATGAAAGAGAAAGTATATGTGATACGTGAAAGTGAATCATATGTCTATATGAATATGATAAATGATATGAAAGAGAATGCACATGTTATGTGAAATGAGATCTAGAGGTACAGTTGACATGCCAAGAGTCGAGGGTTACCTATGTCTTTCGAGACATATGAATAGTTTACCTATGTCCTTCAGGACATATGGATAGGATTACCTATGTCCTTTGGGACATATGGACAGTTACCTATGTTCTTCGAAACATATGGATAGGTCATTCGGGACACATGCATAGGTCCTTCGAGACACATGCATAGGTCCTTCGGGACATATTTCACATGCCACTCAGTTGACCCTTATGCGAGTTGTGGTGACAGCATATGTGCACAACCTCAATGTACTCACTTATCTTTAGTTCTCATATGTGTACATGGGCTAATAAAGAGATAACCCTGAATATAATGTATATAATATATATATGATGTGTGATATGAATTGTATAAAATGATATATGTATGTTATGAGTTATTGTATCTGTTATAAGAATGAGTTATAAGATATATGATATGAACATAAGAGACTATACAGAAAAGAGATAAGAAATATGAATGATAATAGTGTATGAGTATGATAGAAACATAAATGATGACATGTATGTATGTATGTATTTGTTACATGAAAAGTATATGAGTTGCACAATTATGATAGCATAAAATAGTCATACATGGTTAGTGAATATAAATTACATTAGATGTGTTTTTATGCCTCACTAAGTCCTAGACTTAGCGTGTGATTGTTTCACACATAGGTTCCAGAAATCGAGAAGTGAAGCTAAGAGGAACAAGACAGGTCAGTCACTCCTTTATGAAGTTTAGATCAGAAAAAAATATTAATCATGTGTACCTTGTTATATTTAGTTGGCATGTACTAAGAGAATTGTATTGAATATGATCTGATAAGTTTTGTAAAAACAAATGTTTTAATTAATGAAAATTGTTTATCTTCCTGAATTATGGATTTAAACTTTTACCAATTTGTAAAGAAAACTTTTTGAAAAGTTAATGTGAGACCTCGGATTCAAATCAGGGTCGGATACGAGTTGAGGGTATTACATTTAATGGTATCGGAGCTAATATTTAGCCGATACTAGGCTTAAACTGAAGTTAAATGAGTTTTGAAATGTGTACAGGCTAACTTAAAGTAGAAAATTTATGATCTTATAGAATAAGGAGTATGTTGTCTTGCTAATAGAATAAGATTAGTATGATATAGTAGAAATTTGA